CCTGGCCGTTTACAAAACAGGGGGGTAGGTACTCATCTTGTTAGTCAGCGACATCTCCTAGTCATTGCTGTTAATCACAGAAAACATGTTTAGTTTTCAACATGAGCTGTGACACCAGGAAAGGAGGAAAGAGACTTCAGTAGGATGATTTTCAGTCTGCACTGAGAGAAACGGGGAAAAAAGACAACATCAATTTGAACGGAAAGAAAATGTTTTTGCAAGTTTAACTATGACCAAGTAAGATTAAGCTTGGAGCCAAAGGCAGCTGGGAACAACATTTGGCTGCAGTCTCACTGCACAGGGCGATGGCCGCAAGGGCAGCTTACAAAGGAATTGCTCCAAGCTCCTTCCCGCCCGTGCGCTGCGGAGCGCCACGGCATGTGCTAGCAATTAGGTGTGAGCCCACACCGTAAAAACGACACGCTGATCTCGGTTACAAAAAAAAGCATTTCCAAGGGTTCGCTGAGTGGGATTACAACACGGCACCCACAATGACGCACTGCATGTCTTAAGCAAGCACTTCCACTGGCAGAAAACACAACTTTAAACTATGGCCTGGAAAACTCACTGTACTTAATCCCTCTGCAGCAGCACTGGGGCTCAGTGAGGAGTGGGTGCAGAGATGCTCCCTTGAAGACTCGAGAGGTACACACTCAATGACCTAACATCGCACGACGGTCCCAGCTGCACGCTAAGTGAGGAGACTGGAGGTACCTGAGTGTTAAACCTCAGTTTCCAGGCATGCGACTCTCCTCCTCTCACCTTCTAGCTCACTAAACTGCAGCGCACGCAGCACAAAAGCTGCACCTGACACAGGAGATCCAAAGAGGAGAAAGGACCACAGTGAGACCCCAGAGCCAAAAGATTTGTCCTGTCTTCAACTCCTCCTTATCACATGTGCACAAGACTCTCATTACTCATTAAATGAAGTCTTGAGCATCTGCAGGCAGAGAAGTTAAGAAATCTGCATTCATATCAGGCAAATTTGATTCCAGTTCTATAGCTCTGGCTGAGAACTTCAGCGAGTTACTCATTTCAGACATCTTGGCCTTTAGATTCTGGTTACATGAAATGATTTTAGGGCTAATAATGTAATTTGTACTGACGTGATTATCTAGTGCTAATGAAAAAAAAAAAAAACAAGCAAGCAAATACTCCACAAATCAAACAAAAGTAGCTAAAGCTGACTTACAGTGTTGTTGCAAAAAAACATGGACACAATAAAGAAAAATAACATGAGAGAAACTATTGCAGAAAATGTGAGGACATGAAAGAAAGGAGTCAAGACCTCCCCACACAACCTTGAAAGCAACAACAAAAACAGAAGCAGACCAGCCGTTTGGAGGAACTTGAAATATTATAGCAGAGGGGCTGGACTAGAGATTTACCAGGCCCCTTTCAACCAAAACAATTCTATGATTCTATGATTTAGTTCCTGCAACAAAATAATTACATGATATAGCATGGTACGAGATGAGCATCGGTGTACCAGTTTCTAAGAACTGTTTTGATTTAAAAACATAAAGATCTTTCTCAAAAAAAAAAATTAAAAAGCAAAATGGATTTCAGGAAACAGAGCATCCTGACACGTCTCTAAAGACTATTTCTCATAAGAAGACTCACAAGTCTAACTTGCCTCTTCAGCATAATTAATAGAGTCTACAACAAAAAAATCACTGAAATAGTCCTTTCGATCTGAGGAATTCTATTTCATACTGCAAACAAGTTTTTGCCACTTCTTTTGACATACCTGTCCAATTTCTGTATGCTTTATCTTTTGCCATTTTCAGTCTGAGCAGTATCATGCTCAGCCCAAAGTATTCATCAGACTTACCCCCCTGAAGCACCTTTAGCGAAATATCTTTCAAATAAAAAATTACCTCAGTGCCACTTTAATGCTATGCAAACATCTCAACCAATTTTTATAGCATATGATCTGCAGCCCTTACTCAGCACATTGTTCATTGTCAGTACATGACGCAGGAATCCAGCATGATGCAGACAAATCAACAGCCATCAAAGGAATGTCATCTGTTTTTGCAGCTACCATAAAGACTGTCGATTGAGCGAGGCACAGAATAGACTTTAAACCTAATAAAACTTAGCAGTTTCATTTGTCTTGTGTTTTGGTAACTACAACAAATTTTCTTAAGATCTGCTGATAAGAAGATAAATGTTCTATTCATAACTGACTCCACAGTAACCAATTAATTTATGCAATAAACAATAATTTTTTTCCTCTACATTAAAGAGCAATTATTTAAGCATCTCATTGCTTCTGTTCCAGGTCTGTTTGTCAGGGGCTATAAAACTCAAGAGGATGCAGAATTTAATTCTACATGGCATGACTGTGTACCTACCTATCTCTACCACCCTGTCGATGCTGATGACCTACTTTTCAAGCAAATGAGGCACAGATAATCACGTCGTAGCTCTCCTGTCACCTTCCAAAATACATTTGAACCTATGGGCCAATTCGAGTAGTGTGCCAGACAGAAGGAAAGGCTGTCAAGTAATACTCAAGCTGCAGCATCTCTGGGAAGCTCTTCTTGGAAAAGAACCCTGCATAAGTAGAGAAGTAAAAAGAAAAAAAAAAAAAAAAAGAAACATTAAATCTTAGGTCTTGTTTATCAATTAAAGTCAAGATTAGTATGGTCACAGTGCTCAACTAACCAGCTAGGGCTAAGAGTCCTAACACGTATTGCCTGGAGGGGCAATACAAAATTCTTCAACAGCCAGGGCCCTTTCCTCACTGATGGGTAGGGTTACATCAGGAAACTATCACAAATCACTAGTCATTTCCAAACACATCAAGCTGCCTAATAATAGACTCTGTTTCCATTGCAAAAGTGTGCTACACACTGCCCAATCATTAGCATTAATTCCATCTGAATTTTTTCAAACAGAGTGACAATTAATTTAACATCATATGTTAAATTAATTGTCATCATTTATATGTAAAGTACTCAGAATGTATTGTCAGCAGAGTGGAAAACACTAAAAAAATCTTAGTCTGAAGGCACACATAGCCTGATTGTATCAATATATCATGGCAGTTTCTTTAAGACGTGTAAAACATGGTACTACTTTTATATGTATGCAGTGAAATCTGACTACAGCTGCCACACAGCACATAAAACGCGTGCAAACCCACATCAGATGCTCGGGGCTCCAATGTGGAACTGGAGTTGCATTCATGTCCATATTGAATACTCAGTATTACTTTTTCCACGTGCACCGAATGAGCAATCCAGGAAAAGAAACCCTATACAGTAGTTATATCCAGTCAACAAATGGAGGAAAAAATAAAGAGACAAACTAACTGCATCTTTATTTTCATCAAGTTTTAATACATACAAACGTATGTGAATCCCAGAAAGTGAGCAAAAACTGTCTGAAATCAAGCTGGGTTTTCGTACCTTGGACCAGGAGAGGGAACATTACTTGCACTTATGTCTGCCCCACTCAGAGGTTACATCGCTCTTGCTTAATGAAGTGTGCAAACACAGTAAACTCTGTACATAGCACTTTGACAATAAAGCTTGCTCATTATATGCCTGTTTTTCATCTTAAGAATTATTTATGAGCCAGAGTCACAGCAGATATTTGAAGCACACAGTACTGCTGAGAACAACTCAGGCATTTGCAGGCAAAGACACAGGATGTAACTCTGCACCAAAGGCTTCCCAATGTGCTCCACTAAACTTTAAACCTACAGCAAGAAGCCAAAGCGCACGGCATGTGCCACAGAGGGATAGATTTCTGTGACGACTGTGCTCGAGCAACCAGACACATCTTTGACACGGTGTCCTGGTTTCAGTTGGGACAGAGTACGGGAGCAGCTACGGAAGGAAAAGCTATTGCACAGGACGCGCGGGATAACACAGAGACAGCTGAGTCATCCTGCCTTTGTTAAGGCACCTGCCTGGCGCAGGAAAGACTCCAACCTCATATAGTGCTGCCCCGTCACCAGCCTTGGGTTAAACGAAAGCAAAAGCCAACACACAGACAGAGCTAGCCTGCAGCTAGAGAGTATCCGGGTTCCAGGGGCTCTCTCTCCATTGGCCTGTTTGGTGTTCAAGTGTTGCAACTTCTCCCATCACAGCTTCCCCCATACCTCTTCTGTTATCCCTCCCCCATGCTCTTTCTTGCTCCCCATTACCGACTTTTCTCCTCACCACGTCTATTCCAAAAACGACAGAGCAAAGGTGACATCGCTGTCACATTTTTCCTTTTTTCTTCAAGTCTACCTTGTTGAAAGCTCTACTACTAAGCTGTCTGCAGCAGGTTCAACCCACTAAACGGTAGTTGTGCAACAAGAGATGAGTCCAGTACTGCCAGGCTTGCTTAGAAACACTCACCTGTGGACTTCTGTGAGCACATCTCCAACTCCAATCTAAAGATTTTGAATTTCCATAACCAAGTCAGCATTTCTTTTCATGGTTTCAACGATCATATTTATTCCTTGGTTTAAAAGGTTTTGGTTCAACAGTTTTATAAACAGACTTCACAAAATATGCAATATTTATAAACATAGTTCTTAGTTGCAGTGGTAGTAAGAATCTTTACTTTCATCATAAAGTTCACTTCAGTTATGCAACACAAGGTTGTTTTTGTTCCCCCTCTTCTCCCTCCCTCAGTAAGCACTTCATTGTAAACTGGAGAAACTTTAAAAAGACAAGAAGTTAATCTAAGCATGATGTTGTAAGCACCTTGCCACAGTACTACATTCTAATAAGGCAAATTTTTGTTTTGTAAAGTCTGATTGTGCAACTCGGAGACCTATAAAAGGTGATGGAAATGCCAGCCTTCTCCTATAAGGAGCAGGCCTTCATTTTTTGCTTCAAAGTTTTCACCCCTCCACACCACCCCCCTTAAAAAAAAAAAAAAGTAGAGCTGGTAATACAGCAGAATATACCCCTTACAGGGTGAAAGGAAATTACAGTAGACAAAGGCTGAAAACACAGCGCACAGTAGACAAAATAAGACTGTTCTTAAAAATAAAAAAGAAAGAAAAGAAGAAAAAGGAACTGAACAACAAGCAACAATGGAATTTTTTCTAGTGGAAGATTTTTGGGCTTCATAAATAAGTGGGAAATTACTAAAATACTTTGCTATATAATGTAAAAAAGCACAAAGTGTTTTCCAGTTGTCACCTAAGCACTAGATGCAACTTTGTAGGAGTAAGTATTTGGAGGTGACTTTGAGCTCTGACTGGTACAGGCGTTCCAGCAGGGTAACGCTGCCAACAGCAGAAGAAATCCACCCAGCAAGACACAAAAGCCACTGAAATAGAATGCAGTGTCATACTCCTGCGTCCAGTCGTAAAACCAACCTGAGAGTGAAAATGAGAGAAGCACATCAGTGAGGAGTTAAAAGTAACAAAGCACTGTAAGTTAGAGAAATACTATAGAAAAAAAAAAAACACAAAACAAACAAGACCAAATCTAAAATGCAGCTTGACCACTTCGACATGAAATGTGCTTTCATCACAGCCAAAACCAGAACACAATCAGCTTGGCCAGTTCAAGTGGAACAGCCTTTAATTTTTGCTGAAGATTTTTATTTCATCTTTCTATTGCTATTAGGACCAACTAGAACTACTCACATGCAAACGAATTCTGTCTGGTCCTGGCAAGCTCATGTTCACTTTATAGTATCTACCTTGAGCTTACCTACAATTGGTGGTCCAAGGCTATTTCCAAGTCCAGCGAAGAACATCAATATCCCATACGCATGAGTCAGTTTCTCAATTCCCACAGTCTTTGTTGTTACATACGGAAAAATCGACCAGTTCCCAGTCAGAAAACCCAAAATCCCAGAAAGTATCGCTAATGTAAGGTAACTTTTGGCAAACGGAATTGCAAACAAGGCCACGCCTGTCATTAGTAAGGTAGTTACGTACAGATACAAAGTGTTAACCCACTTAAAATCTGCCAGTATTCCTAGAGTAAGTTTGCCAACAGCAGTCATAATGCCTATAATGGAAATAAGCGGCATATGATAGTCATCTTCATTAACGTTCGCACTTCTTGCTACATCTTCCATGAGCAGAGAAGGAGGAAATCCACCAATATCAAAGAGCAAGATGGCAACAAAGAGAGCTGAAAATACTTTGTTCTTAAAAAGAACCATGGTTTCCTCCCAGTAGTTCAAATAGAGCTGCCACTTCCTTTTGGCGAGTTGCTTGCAGAAGTTTGTCTGTTCTACAACTTTCTTTTTATAAGTGTCTTTCTCATTTACATTGATTGAGCTTAATACATTCTTATTTAAAATGTTATCCTGTTTGTAATCAGCAATATTGTTCACACATTTTTCATCAGCATAGCCCTTTTCAAGGATGCTTATGTTTTCTTCAACAGTCTTTTCTTTTTCATGGTAAACAAAATATTGATCTGGGACTTTGTCTACACATGTTTTTTCCAGTGGAGGGGAATCAGATGACTCCAAGGGTCTCATTAGGCTGCCACATGCTAATATATTTAGAGACAGTGCACCAACTATTAGCAGACAACCATCCAGTCCATATAGATCAATAAGCTCTCTTTGCAATGCTGCATATATAAACAGTCCAACACTTGAGCCTGTAAAAGGAAAATAAGATCAGTTTAAACTGAAGAACTGAGAACATTTTTCAACACTAACAAACTTCTACATTTCAGCAGCTACACAGGAATGGTAAGTCACTTGTGTTCCTCTCTCCCCAGGCTAATGAACTGGTAAGTTATCGTCCCTCTTGAAGTTACAGCTTCTTTACTGAGTACACACAAAACAAAAATCCTTTCAAAATATCTGAACAATTTACGATGATTAACACTAGCAGACACTTTAGAAACAAGTAGGATCAATACTATATCTGATGAAAAACATCAAAGAACTATTAAGCCATTCTTCTGCCTTGCACTTACATACACGTATCCCTTCACGTACAACTTTGAGTTAGCACAGTTGGAATTTCTCACACCAACATCTTCCCCTCTCTCTCCTCCTTGCTTGCTGCTGCCTTCCTCCTCTAAGGCAGGAACAGACATGGGGTTCACCAAGAGCCCTCCTAGAAACAGCCCTTGACCACTTGGTGTTTAAGGAGGGAGGCTTGGTGTTTACTCCAAAGGCATTTCTGAAGCTCTGTAGGCCCAAATATGCATTTGAGAAATTTGGCTATTCAGAGGAAAACACTGAGGAATAAGCAATTACTATGACCACAAGCATTTTATGCAATCCTACCAATTTAAAGAAAAATCTCTTGGTTGAAGTGAGCATAGATCCATTGTAACCAATGGATGCCCACTCACAAACACAGAGCATTGTTTTTTCAAGTCAATTTAAAGACAAGCTTGAAATTAAAATGATTTGCTGAAGACTGTCTCTAGGTTATATTAAAGTCATTTATATACTCCAGTGCTAAACGCAGGAAAAAATAATTACAAAATTCAGACTCGTTTTGTCTTCCAGGTACTAAAAGATCAGGTCTTAAGGCAAACTAGCTGGAATCCCAACAAAAGCCAGTGAAAATTACTCCAAGGAACACTTCTGCAGAAGTTCCCTTTATTCCAAGGAACACTTCTGCAGAAGTTCCCTTTATTCCACTGATGTGGAACTGGCATTAATATCTCACAACACTGACAGTACTGACCAGGCCTCTCCTCACTAACAGTTACTGGAGAATTTTCCTTGTATTATCAGAGGTTCGTTTTTCTAGGATCCCTTTAACATACATGGATAACAAGCTGGGATGAGCTTTTGAAAGATTTCAGAATTTAGTCTCTTTTTAGATTGGAAATGAAAAAATATTAAAAATGTAAGCCTCAACTTCAACCACTCCTTTACAGATGTAGATAATGTGAGGTTATGGTGATCCAGCGTCCATATCCTGCATCTCCAATCTCTTTCTCACCTCTGATCTTCCATAAGAAAGGAGAGCTCTATGGAAAGTTTCCCCTTTTATTACTGTTCTGGTTTCAGCTGGGACAGAGTTAGCTCTTCTTTTTAGCAGCTAGAAGAGCTCCGTGTTTTGGTTTTACTCAGAGGCTCGCTCTGAGAAGAATGTTGATAGCACACTGATGTTTATAGTTGGCACAGACCTCAAGGACTTCTCAGCTGCCGTGTTCTTGCCAGTGTGCAGGAGCACAACAGGATAGGGGGGAGCATAGCCAAGATGGGGGGTCCATGACTCTCCTTATGATTTGTACTTAGACTTAGGATTGAGGCCAAACTGGTCAATTAGTATTCCATGTCATGCAGCGTCATGCCCAGTGTAAAAGTGAGGGTCGGCCGGAAAGAAGGGCTTTTGCTCTTCCGGGACTCTCACTCTCAGACTCTGAGAGTGCTCCCTCTGTCTTGCTCTTTATTTTCGGGCCTCTCGCTCGTCCGGGATTGCGGTATCGGGATTTATCTGTTTCGGGATCATTGGTTCGGGATGAGATGGGCCTTGGCCAAGGGGTGGGGAGCAATTACACCGTACATCACTTGTTTGTACATATTTATCCCTGTACATATCCGTACATATATATATTGGTCATAGCAGTAGTAAATTGTTCTTATCTCAACCCACGTGTCTCTCTTCTTTTTCTCCTCTAATTCTCTTCCTCATCCCCGGGGGGTGGGAGAGGGTGAGTGAGCGGCTGTGAGGAGTTCAGCTGCCAGAGCATACAGCTCAAGCTACTTATGAGTCTGCTTGCATTTTAGTGAATACCCTTCTCTCATCTATACGGATAACCCATACCATACGCTCACAAGTATAGTTACTATTTTATCTTAAGTCTGAACTTATCTGTTCATTGCTATTGATGTTTTGACTTAAGAAGCACTTCAGGAAGTAATTGAGAAAAATACAATCTCTTGGGTTTTATTGCCAAGGTAATGGTAGCTGTATCAGAGTTCAAAAGTTAGAGAGAACGACAATTAAAAGTCATACCTGTTGAAATCAGACCAAGTGCAAGGCCTCTGCGTTTGTCAAAATAGTGGCAAGTGATGGTAACCGTTGCGGTATACAAAAGGCCACATCCAAGCCCTTGAGAAAAAGAGTTAGAAATTAAGCATGCAACATACTCTGGGAAAAGAACATCCCTTTTTATTCCCCAAGTAATACAGTGGTGTACCCTAGGCACAGAGGTACTTTTTAACTCTGGCTCAGCACCAGCCACACTGGCCTCATACTGACGGGGCCTTTAGGCTGCCTGCACTGTCCCACTTCCCTCTCCCCCGACCATCCCTGGCTGCAGAACCTGCATGGAGCAGGCTGGGTTTGAGGAGCTCACCAGCTCAGGCTCTGTGTTATGTAGAAGGGTTATGTGGCTTTCAGTTCAGGGGCTGGCCCCAGAAAAGAGCAGATCTGCATCCATGTGGCACTGTGCCCGAGTCAGCACGCGGCTGGGTCTCACTTGGCCAGCAAGGTGCCCGGGTTCCTGGCACAGTTAATTGGATAAACCACCCACAGCAGCCCTCTGCAGCACAGAGGGGCAGGTCACCACCTGCCAGGAGAACAGGACTTCCACGCCTTTAGCACAGCATTTCAGGTGCAACCCAGTTATGTGCAGACGAAACGTTATTCCTTTAAGACTGGCCCTTCACACTTGCAGAACATCTGCTTGATTCCACCCCTTCGGTAAAACCTCTGCCTCTCCATCTCTAACAATCACGTCAACAGAGGAAAAACTGTTCTCAAACCCTGATGAACATATGCATCACCTTTATGTTTCACTACATGGTAATGGTCCTCCTGTGGGACACCCCTCTCCACCCCAAAGTAAAGCATTCCCTGATAAATCAAGTCCCAGACTACTGCTGCCTCTATGAATCGGTTTCTCATTTCAGATTCATAAACCAAGACTCAAAGTAATAAAGATTAAGTCCCTATATGAAGGGGAGCTGCTTCTTACCAACAACAATCCCATATGAAACATATAGAAAGTATATGTTAGGTGCGAAACTGCTCATCATGAGACCTCCGGCCACCATAAAGCCGCTGAAAATTGCTACTGGTCTTACTCCAAAAGATGATACGCATATACTGCAGACAGGACCTAGAGGAAAGGCAGGAAAAAATATCAGTAAATATCAGCATCAGTAAGAACTTCTAAAAAAAAAATCTTAGTCTACGGAAATGTTTCTTGCAATAATTATTTAAACATATAATTATATTTAACAACAATTCAGAGTACTTATTTTTACAGGATTCTTTAAAGAGTCAGTTATAAAAATAAACATCAGTTTTGCAAGTTTTTTTGCTCAAGGATAAACTGACATCAAGACAACGAAATGGTACCAAGGCTGGGAGGGAGACAGCAAGCAAAACATTCTTTAAACATAGGAGCCAACCGTATCCTGGGCTGCATCCAAAGAAGCTCGGCCAGCAGGTCAAGGGAGGTGATTCTGCCCCTCTACTTTGCTATGGGAGGATGACAGGATCACCATTCTATGAGCCTTCCTCTCAAAAGAAGAAAAAAAGCAAAGAAACCCCCATCCTCTCCTCTAGAACAAACCACTATCCTGGAACCTGATCCAGAACCAACAAATGATCTGGTGGGGGGGGTGGGGGGTGTGTACCTAGAACCTGCTCTAGAACCAGTAAGAGCTCTAGAACCTGCTCTAGCACCAGATCCAGAACCAGTAAATTATTTAGAACCCTAAACCAAGCTAGGAACCCTGTCTAGAGCCCTCTCACTACCAAACCACCAACTCAACAATTCATTCCTGATCTTGGGAACAACTGCACCAACACCATCCTAAATGAAAACCAGACTCAAACACATCTGGACCCAGACTCTAGGCCCCCAGGTCAAGAGCAAGCACATTTCTTTCTCCTTTTCAAGCAAAGAGATTGGGAAATACGCAGATGAATGCTGATATTGTCTTCCAGTAAAGTAGGCAGTGCCACTCCAACATTGATGGTAACTATTGATGCTCTCATGGGACCCCACATGCAGTACTGCCTTCAGCTCTGGGGACCTCAACATAAGAAGGACATGGAACTGTTGAAGACAGCCCAGAGGAGGGCCACAAAGATGATCCAAGGGCTGGAGCACCTCTTCTATGAACACAGGCTCAGAGAATTGGGGCTGTTCAACCTGGAGAAGAGAAGGCTCTGGGGAGATCTTATAGCAGCCTTCCAGTACTTAAAGGTACTACAAAAAAAGCTGGAGAGGGTGTGTAGTGATAGGACAAGGGGCGATGGCTTTAAACTGAAAGAGGGGAGATTTAGATTAGATATAAGGAAGAAATTTTTCACTCAGAGGGTTGTGAGGCACTGGAACAGGTTGCCCAGAGAAGTTGTGGATGCCCCATCCCTGGAAGTGTTCAAGGCCAGGCTGGATGAGGCTTTGAGCATCCTGATCCAGGGGAAGCTGTCCCTGTCCAAGGCAGAGGGGCTGGAACTAGATGATCTTTGAGGTCCCTTCCAACCCAAACCATTCTATGATTCTATGATACATACTAGACTGTAACACTGTCGCTGCACACCTAAGGACTTGTACAAAAGTTCTGAAAAGAATCTTCCTCTTTAGGTGCCAGAAGTTAGACCATTAGCCAGGCTTTAACCAAGCAGGTATTTTTGACAGAGCCTTAAACTATGTTTAAGAAAAGATGGTATCTATATTCATCTTGATATAAGATGAGATTTATAAAACTGAAATGGTAAACAGTAACTTCTGATCACAATCATGGCAAGAATGCCACCTGGTGCCTAGATAGAGGAAATATCTGCTAATATACCAGAAAAAGAAACACAGTACTCTTCCCTGATTTTCTAGGGAATTAAATACCTACTGGTTAGTATTCTACCAAGTAACTGTTTACTACCTATCTGAGTTTCTACTGCAAAACTATGGAAACTAAAAGGCATTTATTGAGAAAGTCCAGAGCAATGTACATGGAGCTTGGAAGAGGTTTCTCCCTCTCTTTATTCCCCCAATATTTCTTGGTTGGTTAGCTTTTCAAAACAAGAACAAAGTGCAGGCAACATTCGTACTCTGCCTCTACTCAGCCAGTTCTCCTTTCACAAAGTGGTAGAACAAGCACTTATTTTCAGTCGTGTGACCTGGAATACACCTTTTATTCTGAAGTAGCGTGCAAGCTCAGTGCCCTGCATACATAAGCAATCAGCAAGGGACTTGGCTTGCAAAAGACAATCTCTCATCCTGCAGTTCCAAACCTTCATAGACTTATATATTAGTCCCAAGATCCTAAACTCAGGAACTCTGAGATTAGACGTTAGATACAGAGATGAATGACATTATTCAAAAACCACCACCACCACCAAAACCCTCACCACCTTTGTATCTCACTCACAGTGATACAAAGACACTTCATGGTCGATACAATCTGCCAAAGCAGTAACTTTGGAGCCTGCTGGTTGTTAAGGTTGGTCCTCCCTGACTCAGGCACATCTGAGATTCCCAGCAGATGGGAGGTGAGCCCAGAGAGGTGATACGAGGTGAACCACAGTTGGAGCTGAGGATGGTGCTGGCCTAGGGTTTGCAGACAGGAGCTAGCAGCTGGGAATGCAGGCAAGGTTTTTGCGTGGTTACCGGCCGTGAGACGAACAGCTCTGGCAGGCAGGAGCACGGATGCGTTAGCAGGTGAAACAATGCTCAAAGGCAAGGCAGGTCAGAACTTTCGCGCTACGTGAGAGTTATCTGCCTGGGGAACGTAAAGGGAAATGGGTCTGCCTTGGGGCTTGTCCCGGCAACGAGTCAGAGTTACAGAAGAATCGAGAAAAATCTTCTGGGGAAGAGGGGTTTATTTGGATTGTGGAAACGGTGAAAAAGGAAGATGTAAGCGCTCGCTGCTTCTCAAGAGTCAGCACACTGCGGGAATGAAAGCCGGCCAGAACAACTTGGGCAGAGCAACTCGCCAAGAACAAAGGCTGAGAGTGTTAGATCACTGATGATTCTTAGAATTAATTACTAGAACTGGCAAATTAAGATTGGTATGTTTCCTAAAACCACAGGATTTAAAAATAAACAAAGGATTTAATCTGTATTACATAAAAAAATTCTTCTACACTAAAAGAACATTAGGTAGTGATAATATAATTCAATTAAGCAGAGGAATTTGCACTCTTTCTATTCTTTATTTCTCACTCACCACCTTGCTAAAAGAAACAGTATTTCCCTTCTGCCAGCTCTCTGTATTTCGACACAGCTTCTTTCAGAAGGTCTCTGTCCAGCCTGGGTTGGTGGTACTGGTACAGACCACATGATCTCTACTAGAGGGTCCAAAGGGAAGCTGGACCCTCTGACCCCAAGCCAGAACAAGGGAGGCACAGAGATGCTCTTCCAGCTTCTCCCACTTAAAGAAAATAATCCCAAAGGAGAACAAAAAGTACAAAGAGATCTTTTTGCTCTGACACGGAAAACAACCTGCACAAAACTGAAGAACCTGCTCCAATAAGCCCAGTATTAATGTGTCATCTCACACAGCAAGAGATCTGGCAGCTTGGCAATGGCCCTGTTTATAAGAAGTGCCAGTATAAGTATTAAAATAATTATCATAGGTCTCTGGGACGAGAAGAAAAACAGCTCTGTCATCCCCTTCACACTGGGCCTTACTTTCACACTCCCCTCATCATACTGCTAGAAAATAAAAGTCACAAAAGAAAACTCCCATGACAGCCAGTATCTTTGTTCTTTTCCCTGCCTCCTCACATTCCTTTTCTTTCTCTGTTTACCAAAGAGCTAGTGGTTGTTTTTTTTTTTTCCACCAGCAACAGTATCTTTGGTTAATACCATGGTATTTGCACAGGTGTTCACTGTACGCAAACATGTTATTCTCCACAAGTAATTCAAGCACAATGAGTTCAGGGCAGTTAATTCCGGTCAAACACCCAGCTTTCCCAGAGTGGGACTGAGACTTGCTCTGTGAACTCCTGCCCTGTGGATTTTGTTCAAAGTAGACATCCTGAAGAACATAAGAGTCTATGTACAGCTGCATAGGAAACGGTTCTTCAGGCAGTATAAGAGTTTTCACTAGTTGACTCACTTTCAGAAAGATCTTTCCACTGACAATGTATTTCTCACCATAACATGAACAACATAAAAACAAAATCCCAGTGGCAATCCTCAAAAGTAAGCATGGAAAATGGTTTTTAAGTCAGCTTCTTGTTCAGTTTGCCAAGCAACTCCAGGGGTTAGCACTGGTATTAGAATCCTATTTGAAAACATCGATAAATATTTATCTCTCTTACAAATGAAAACCTGGGCCTTTTCTCCTTCCAAATGATGTCTCTTAAAGCTAGACGAAACTCCATCAAGAAAAGATACCAGCCCAGTTTATAAGAACGACAGCTAACTCTAGGAAGAAAACTGTATTGTTCTGAAAGACTTAGAAGGCAGCACAGGGACAGCTACTGCTCTTCTGCAGACAACCAGTCAAGGCTCAGCAGCCAGTAATACAATTACCGGGCTCTGCAGGAGAGCAGTCAAGAAGATCCCCAGACAAATTGGAAAGAAACAGCAGAAAGAAGATGGGCTCTCACAACAGATCTTCATGCAGGGAAACTAAAGAGGAAGAACTCCTAGGAGGAATCATTTGTACGTTGGTATTTGCATTAAGATTTTTTTTGAATAAAAGACTTTATTCTCAGTGAGACCTGGATGTGACAGTGAGTCCTTCCTGAAATGTGAAAACAAAACATCTGCTACTCACACAGGAACTTCGTAACTACCAGGATCTTCTGATCTCCTAATGAGTACAAAGTTGTTTTGTTCAATGGACATCAAGAACTAACACTCTTCCTCAATCTTCTCACATGAAGAGAAAAATTCTGCAAACTAACACTCCCTTCCTCCACTCACTCATCTCGAGGGCCCTCCCTCCTTCACCTCATACACACACAAAACCTTTTGCTAAACAAACAATACTGGACAGCTGAGTTCTTTTTCTTATCTCCTGCATTAATCTGACCCACCCTACTTGTTGGTGTCTGTCCGAGCATGCTGAAACTGTAGAGTAGAAGCAACTGCTCACGGACTGTACGTAAAATCCACTGGACAGAACACAAGAATATTTTTTGCATATTAAATGCATTGCTACAACCTGGTCATAATAGATATAACATTCTGCAAGTGTTTGTACTTTGGGTAAGCATATAGATCAGAGAAAGCCTTTTTACACTGGACAGCAACCCGCTCCCAGCTGATAGAAAAGACTGTTCCTTTCTGATAAAGTTATTAAATGAACCGGGCTCGTCTTCGGAGGAGTCTCTGGGACACCCTCTCTCCTCCTCACAAACTATGTATAGCTTCCATAGTTTATAATGAGGGTTATCCATGTGCAAGGTTTTTGTCCAAAAATGTGTAGATGCTGCAAAGATTTTTTTAGAGTTGTAAAAATATTGCTTGAAAACACAAAATTAATCTTTTTAAACATTTAACAGTAAATTACTCAGACCAGCAGAAACACCCTATTAATTTATCAAGACATGCCTTTCAAGGAAGAATCTTCCCTTTGTTCTTTCTCCATTAATAAAGGGCAGTGGGAATGGGAGACATATTGCTGGTTTCTCCTGCTACGCCAAATACTGTGAAGTCAATTGTTACGATAAACAGCTGTGGTGCCAATTACAGGCACTAAGGTCTTTGTCTGTTTTGGTTTTAACAAGTATAACATGGATCAAATTTAATTTCAGGCTCAAAATGGATGTAAAATTAAGAACACTTGGTGCAGGAGAAACACACGATCTTCAACAATGTAATAAGTATCTTCCTCTGGTCTGTTTTAGTAGCGGAAACATGCTAAGCTCTTTCAATTTTTTCCTATGCAACAAGCCCTACATCATCCATGGGGCCATGTGCTGCATCTGCTATAGCCTGACCAGCGTTATGACACCTAATACTGTAGAGGAGGTCTCACCACTGCCCTGTACAACAACACTGAGGCTTTGCTTTCACTGTTTTAGGCACATTTCTTCCAATACACTGTAAGGTCACATCACAGAAAGTCATAACTCAAGTTATCCTGCAAGGAAGAGATCAAGCAGGTCCCTGTCCCATCCCCCTTTCCAGCTGATGAGTCAAATAGTCCAGCTCAGGGCTGAACACTGGCCTTAGCAACACCATCTGTGCTGCGAGCAAGAGGACAGAAATCAAACACCAGGCGACTAGGAAATTCATCTCAATAAACAAGGTGCTGTACCGGGTTTCTATGTCTCGAGTCTAAGTTTAGCTCTCAAGCAAGTCAGAAGTAAACAGCATAGAAAGGATACAGCAAATGTGAAGGGACTCACCAGCATCAGCTACTTCAAAAAACATTTAAGACTACATGTACAGAGGGAAGGGGAGAAGACACACAGAATCTTTTTCTCTGCCAGCTGACATACAATTAAGGACATTCTCTTCATGTTGGTGAAATTACTGTACTCATATAGTGAAGTCACTGGATCTACCTTTCACTGTTACAGAAGCTAGTTAATGTGGATCAATGACAAAAGCCTTCCTTTAAGAAAATGGACATGAACTTATTCCTGTATGTAGCTGCAAATCTACCATAACTGCCACTCTTTTCCCAGTCTGGCATCTACAGCTTCAGAAAGGTGATGTTAAGTTGGAAAGGGGTCACAGAAGTCTTAACAGCTCTTCAGAAGAGTCTTAATTAAAAGAGTGGAATCTCTTGCATCGACGGCAAACAGACTGTATGAAGGAACAGGCTTAAAAGAAAATTTAGAATCAATTTGATTGCAGTCTCTAGACACATCCCACACTTACTCAGAGACGCTTCAAAATATACCACTTAACACTATTCATCAGCTGAAAACTAAAACTAAGCAACTTATATCATAAGATTACATACTTCTAAGGAGGGAATTAACTACTGAGAAAAGTTGTAAGAGACGGAGAATGCACTAATCAAACATGTTCTAAATCAAATGAGAACAACAATATTTTCTGCATGCAACATGGATTGCTTTAAGAGTACCAATGCTTGAAAATATGTCTTTGGATAACTAGATCAGAGGCTGGAAATCAAAATAAGGAGGAGAAGGGAAAGAACAACAAATACTAGAAGAGTCAAGATAGGAACAGTAAAAGGCAAGGGGACTCACAAAAGGCTTTGGGGAGAAGCTGTCCTGTTACTAGCATTCACACACGCAATATTGCCGCTGAAATCAACTTGCTAGGGGAGATTGTTAAGTTAATAAGTTACAGATAACATCTTTTCACACACATGAAAATATGCTAATTTAGGAAAATTCAATTAGCCCGACCACCTGCTTAACATAGGCCACAACACACAATGGTCCCATCTGGCTTATAATACCGGAACCTGCAACAGCAGAAATAAGAGCAGAAGCAAGCTTTCTTTTCCTGTATCCATGAAAAGGGCCTAGCGTTGCACTGCCTTACAGCAAATGTTCTGTGCTGAAAACACATACGTTCTTCACACTAGCGACTAGGTCTGAAAAAGGTTTGCTATGAAAACCGCATGAAAAATTGTAATTTATCCAGAGCATTCTAGCTTTAGGTAAAGGTTATGATGCTTACAGTGTCCCTCCAACAAGATTATTTAAAGTTATCCTTAAGGTCAGATCCTAGCTTGATAAGACTGTGGGATCTTCCATTTCAGGTAAAGCAAGGAACACATATCTTGTTTTCACTCAACCCTGACAAAATCCATGCAATTAAAAGGCCCTCACTGTACTTTTCTTTGAAGGCATTAAAAACAGGAATGATTGTTAAGCTTCTAAATCCCCAAGTGGAAAGAATAAAAGTACACTGACAGACAACGCTCCTCCTAATCCGTCAAAATTTCCAGTAATTTAATCATTCTATATAAGAATCAATTACAATAGTACCTTTTATTTGTATTATTCAGTCACAGAAGTTTCTATTTGCTATAAAGCACACTATTGACAATTGCTCACAGTGACAAGACAGAAGGCACTAAGAAATCTGGAAACTAGCATGATATTAACACACAAGAAATGGGGCTGAGGCTCTTGTCAGAGGAGTTGGCTAGAGAGTTCTGGTCTCCAGGGAGAGGGTTTTTCTTCACCCTTTCTCTTGCAATTCCCTTCTGCCTAGATTTTCTTCAGCAATTATCTTGTTTAGCCTTCACACACACACCCCACACACACTTCACACTCACACTCAAGTTTATTTAGGTCTTAATCCATTAATAATAGGATTTAAAGCCCTTAAAACAAGAAAATAAAAAGTATGACGGAAGTGCAGTCTAGAGTTTTTTGTCTGCTTACACCCCGGGAATGAATATAATCTTCTTGTGGTTAATGTCACACCTGTCTTTGCCCATTTCTGTTCCGCCCAGTGATATAAAACCCTAACACAAGTGTGACATCAGTATTTGGCCAGTTACAGCGTCATACAAAGGAGCGGTCTTTATTCATGTCTGCATCACTATTTGAACATCAACTTTCTTTTAAGGAAAGATTTCTTCAGAATCCTGAGCTGAATTTTGTCCATTAAGCTACATAATTGCTGTTGCCCATAGCAATTTCTCAGCTGACAGGGAATTTTTCCCAGATTCAGCAAAAAGATAATAGTTTCCATGGTGAATCTTTGAAAAGCAGAAGTTAGCAATATTACCCAGTACAATATCCATGCTCGATATTAAAACAACAACAACAAAATGGACCTATGGACTTTCAAAGGGGTGTTTTATTTCCCTGAAACCCTACTGTTACTCTCCAAGTGACAGTGTCTTGCTAAAGGAAAGCTTCCAGTAAAGTAGTTCTATTTAATGCCACTGTAATCCATAACTTTCCAGGCTTCAAAGGGGGCGCTTCTCAAACAAACAGTGGAAAAGAGACCTCACCCACTCTAACTGGTGAATTTATTTCTAAAGCTGAAAAATAAGTAACTGGTTTATTAATTGACTCTTTTTTTGTTTCCTTAAAGCACTTGAACCATTTCAGACTAATGGTTTGCTCTGATTTTAAAGACACTAATGCAAATGTTAGTCTTAAAGCCTCATTAAAAAATATTAAAAATCCCATCAATAAAACTACAATTCAGTTTTCCAGAGAGAGTTTGGTTTTTCTACTTTACTCAAATAGAATAATTTGGAGTTTTCTAAGGGTAATATTTTTATTGCTTTTTTACCATTATTTTGTTTTAGTTTATGTATAACGGAAATACAAACGTAGTCTTCTAATCCATCTTGACCTAAAAGAAAAATGCAGCATCCTCATTCTATCATTCACAGCCATCTTTAATATCATTCCAAAAGCACACACAGATGAAAATATCTAAATATCTATTAAATGCTTATTAGATACCACATCTACACTTACTGGCAAGCAATCCGATTCCATTTGCTAGTGATCCAACCCAAGCAGTCTTGCCTTTCCCTTCTCCAAAAGCGTCCAGCCATGCTACATACAAGACTCCCACCGCCAGCGGTGATCCGTAGCACAAGAGCTGAGTAAAGAAGGAAACAACAACAACCACCCAGCCCCAGCCACCATCTGGTGGTTTCCGAAATACCATCTTGTCAGAGAAGTGCAGATGTACAGGCAGGACCTGAGTAAACAGAAAACAGACAGAACAGAGCGTTAGAAGTGTGACTGATCTGGGTTTGCTAACACACGTGAGCTGTACAGAGTGGTATACATTCAAACAGGCTTATTTCAACCATCCTTCAAGAAATATATGCAACATAGCATACAAACAATGAAACTCAGTTACCATTTGGTACTTCTAGCTCTTCTGCGTGACACAGGAACAGTACACAAAGCACTAGTAAGTCATACATACATCATCATGGTACTACAAAAAGTGGGAACATTTCATCTTCTGAGCATTAAATGGGCTTTGTGAAGACCTCAGGCATTAATATCTGACACAGTTCAACAAGAGAACCTCATGGCCACCAGCTGTTAAGCCCTCAGATATCCTGAGTGAAGCGTATAGGCTTGAAGGACTGGAAAAGCTACAAGTGTAAAACAATCCCAATAAATAATTTAGAATTTAAAAAAATTAACAAGTATAAAAATCTTAGTTCAAGGTCCAAAAAATCTAAAAAAAAAAAATCTCTACTTAGTTGTACTCTCAGCATCGTGCCTTGCAGTTTAGCAAGGTGTTTGCCACCAGATAGTGTACTCTGGGAGGAACAGGCCTAGAGGAAGACTGGGATTCTGGAAATAGTAACAGTTCAGTACTCTGCTCTGTCAACAGGGTGATGTGTAGAGGAGTGATGCATCCAAAAATGACTTTGTACGTATTAGTAAGTGAAGTCAGTTCTAAAACTGTATACAGGTGTTGGCTTACATGCCAAGACATGGCGGTATTAAACACGCACACAAAAATCTCCTATGATCTGTTAGTGTCCGCTCTCTGCACAGTTTGCACACTTCACCCTTCCCCAAACTGGCACTTACTTCTCGGACTCCATCAGTACCACCTTCCTCCTTTGCATAGCAAGATCCTTCACCTATGCATCTATGGCTTGAAATAAGTGACTGTCCACACACCTTCTCAAGACTAGTTTGTGAATGCAGGGGCTGACGCCTCTAACATCTAGCAAAGAATTTAGAAGTTTCCAGGCTAAAGTGCTTTGGAGTTCAGATGACTCCAATGATACACGAATCCCTGTGCACACAACCAACTAACCCGCCCTGCCTTTCTACAGGGAGAAATCTGCCGAGGCCATAATCACAAACCCCACGTTCTGTTCCTGGCTCTGTCACTAACCAGATGTGTGATTCTCAACAATTTTATGTCCTTTACCCTGTAAGATAGAAACAGATAAGATCTTACCCTGTTTTCTTTCTCAAGGACCATCTTCACACTCCAGATTACGCATTAAGACCTCTGGAGTAACAGTTCTGCTCTGGGAGACTCCCAAGAGGCAAAGCAGAAAAAACATGTCGCACTGCCTTTTTGACTTATAATACAGAGGAGATGGAAAAAGATTACTGCTGTATGAAAGCAACAGTGTAAACAAGTAGACAGTAACAGAACTTCTATTCAAGCTCCTCATATCCTTTGCTTGGGCAATTTTTAAGAACTTGCATGGAAAACTTACAAAAAAGCTACAGTATAAAACTTTGAGGAATAATTACTATAGAGACATGAAAAAGGCCAGTTCTAGCTTACAGACGCACTTAAATGTTACTTAGAGGGTAGATACTTACGGATGATAACAAAAAAGTCCTTCAGCTTCCTACAAATGTACCTTCATGTGGCGGCTCTACCTGCAGAAAAAAAGAACAGCAAAGCAAGATTTTAGCTGAAGTATCACTGCAACAGTGAATGCAACTCTGAAAAACTGGTGCCTTCACATTAAATTTCTTCTTTTTAATCTTTTCAGTGGAACTTAGAAGTAATGACATTGTCTCAGTGGAGAAATACTGATCCTCCCTCAATTAATTAACAGCTGACAGCAGCCTTGAGCTCCAAAATAACAAAAACTTTGTCTACTAATGTAAAATAAACTTCCGCGTTCTAGGTCTTTTAGAAGTGATTTACAGTTTTAACATGCTGACAGTCCTTCAGGATACAGTATTTCCAGTTACAAATGTTATAAAGTTATACATTTCGGTTATAAATGTAAACTCTGATTTATTTCCTCAAATGTCTGGTAAGTGTCTCTTGACTAGATGAGATGCAAGGGTGATGGTTGGGACAGACAGAAATCATACCACACCATACGGTATCAAAAGCATTAAAAAGCCACTTACAGTTACTTTCCTACAACAATAACTTTTATACAAAGGGGATCACTGTATTTCTACACAAAATATTTAAACTACATATATAGTCACCAAAAGAGTTGACATATGCATTTCTCTGCACATTAAATAAGGATCACTTGGCTTGTTTTGCCCGACTGGAGTAAAAATGGTGGAAATAAATAACAGCTCCAAGAAAAGACAATTCCACTGAGACAACGCAAAGAAGTTTTCAGAAAACCACTAAAATAATGGCAATAGACAGTAAATAATCCCAACTTGTATTATTTTAAAAAGTAATCTTTGGAAAACAAACACATTTTAGCTGTTATATTGATTTCCGCTATATTGGTGTCCTAAAATTTGGCACAGAGACAACTCTTGAGTTCAGTTCTGCTATTCTAGATGTTTGTTGGAGTGGAAGGAAGGGCAGGGCAGTAGAGGAAAAAAGTTTTCGAAGTCTTAGGTCACGGAGTCTTTTTTAATAGAAAGACTATAAAAATCTCTGGATCAGTTCCTCATCTGCTGCAAGTTTGCACAGCTTTACTGACTTTAAACCCACTGCTTCCAACTTATTGCAGCAAAAGAACTAACCTCCTACATCCTGATGCCTCCTTCTTTGCACCACAGGTATCTTTCGCATCTTTTAGCTAAATAAGATTTTAGACAGCAAAACCACTTCTACTTTCTAAACACCTCGAGGCATTTACAGCGTGCAATTGTCAAGCAAAGAGTGAAAACCACCATCATTTTCTCCCTCCAGAAATTGTCCTCAAAGTGAAGACAGATCTACAAAGTAACACAGTTTGTTTTTAAGAGCCAACATGACCTGGCTTTTCCTTCCCTTTCTTGCAGGTTGCTCCTTCATCTCACATCACTGTGTGCCTATTACCTAAAACAAGGCGTATTTTCTAACTTCCCTGAAGGCACGAAGTCGTCCTGAAGAGAGCACATGAGCAGAGAGCCCAGTGCGAGGAGCCTGTTGTCCAGAGTCCTCTGCTACGATGCATGGGGAAAGACGTCCCAGTCAACCAAGCTGCTGCTGGGAATGTAGATTTCAATACACCTTTTATTGGTACTTTATTTTATGCTCCCCTGAAAATGACAAGTTGTACTAGAAAAGCTGAGTAGCACAGACAAGAGCCCACAGCAGGAGCTAAACCTGCGCTACTCCCAACACTGCCTGCACGGGCATCGACTCTGTGCATCGACTTGGGAAGGATCCAAAGTGCCTTTTACTAGTTTCTATCTGTGCGGAAGGAGGACACAGACTGTACAGATACACGCGATCATCAAAAATAAAGAAACAGAAACCACTTAACACCACAAGACCACTTAACAGTGTTTTGTTTTTATCTCTTGGAACCAACCAGGAAGATTTGTGTGATCCTGGAAAGAGACAAACAACCCTGAGTTTACGATTCAGGTCGGAACCATTTCATGGACCTTACTGTCCACAAAACCTAAGGATGTTGTTGCAGACTCCAGGAAACCTAGACACATCAAAAATACTGAAATGGAGAAAGGAAGCATAAAGAATTAAACAATAACTTGAAGTTTGGTCAGAAAAAGCTTTTCTGACTCACTGCAAATAAGAATCAGAGGAAGAAAGCTACTTGATGAAAGCCTTTACCACCACCAACAACAAAAAGAAACCCTAGAAAATGAACTAAACAACAACAGCTTTAATGTGGAAAGAAAGAGGTGTCTGGCTGCAACGATTTTCTTTTCTCTAAGCAGCTGTATCACAATATCGAGCTCTTTTTCTATAAATCTTCAAATTTGGCTTAAAGATCACAGAGGAACACAAAAAAAAGAATTGGTCTAAAGAACACAAGCACAACAGAAACATTAGCCCTCAGCACAGAAACTTGTCTTAATCTGTGGCAAAGGGAATCTTGAGAAAGACAGTAGCAATGTGATTGTTTCCAGTTTGTGCAGCCAGAGTCCTGTTAAGTACGCCGCTTCCTGCGAGCAGCACATGGCCGCAAGGAAAGCCGATGCCAGCAGAATCAGTGTGTGATTAACACTCGGCTAATCCAGTTTTGCAAGGCGCTGGTACAAATTAAGACGGTACCAGCCAGAATGGTAACATCCCTCATTTTAAGTTGAATGAGATTTCACATAAATTTCTATTTATATTTCAGGCAACATTCTTGCAATTATAATCTGAAGTTTCTGCTACCCTTAGCTTGCAAGTAACACCTAAAGCGTTAGAGTGGCAGTGAGGCATTACAGTCGTTTGTAACATGCTCATCACATTCAAACACTGGCATACCTACTGACATGACGGTATAAGCGTTGTATTAAATGCACTGGAAAAGACACATCTGTACTTTGACGACATCAGACTTTAACTGATGTTCTAACTATGCTAGCCCCCCATGTTTAAATATCTGTCTTTAAGTTCTTTCACACTGAACATATGTATTTCCCTCTCAGTTTCCAGCATTCAAGTCTACCTATTTCTCATGTTCCTCCACTTTCCCTTTTGTAAGTTATGCAAGAGGCTCATCAACATAAATATTTCTTCCATTTCTGTCTGATGAGGGAAGAAGCACTGAGTTTAAAACAAAACAAAATACCAGAACGAAACTTACCAACGACATAATAATATTTTTCCATTGTGCAAAGTAAGTTCGCATAAAGAAGCATCAACCAGAGCAGCACATAAACCAGCCAGTTTTGTACAATCTGTCAGCTCAGCAGAACCTGCCCTACCTGTTTCCAGAGCCTCACTGCCCCAGAGGGGATGGAAAACTCCCCCACAAGTATAACTACCTGTCAGACACCAGCACACGTCCATGCAGACAGATG